CCATCTGAACCCCGGCCCGGGGACCTCGGAGGGGACGGAGCCGCAGGAGCAGAGCGGGATTTCTCCCGAGGTGCAGGCCCGGGAGATGGAGAGGGAGGCGGCGGCGGCAGCCAGGGCGTGGGCAAAGGCGGATTCCCGTGTTCCTGGGAAGGAGAAGGGGGAGATGTCCCTCCTCCCGCCCGGCCACGAGCTCCTCTCACACATCTCACACGCGTTTCTTTATGATGATGACGACTAGTCGTTATTTTCCCTATTATTATGATTATTTTCAATCCCAACAGGGTGAGCCCAAGGCCCTTGGGCTGGGTTTTCAGGCTGTGCCACCCATCCTGTCCCACTGCCAGTGCCCAGCCTGTCCCCCCACCCCTCCCCACCCCTTGTTTTTGGAGCCTCTAGCAGCTGCTTTTGTTTGAAATGGAAATGACTGCCTGTTCTCTCCAGCAGACCTGAGTTGCACGGGATTAACACCCGAGTAAAGGGCAGCGAGTTTGCTTCAAAATCGATTCAATTCTCTAAAAACTAACACATAAGGCAAAATGATCCCCCAGCAGGTGAACATCAGCGCTGGGTGCTGGAGCCCGTGCCTGCCTGCTCCACAGGGCAGAAAGAGGAGAAGAAAACCAGGACGGGGGGGGGGGGGCAAAACCCCCTTTACCTTTCAGGAGGTCAGGACCAAAGCTGGGGGCACGCAGGATGGAGGAGCAGTTCCACCTCATCGCCCGGAAGGTTTCCTGGCAGACCCCCTGGGTCTGGCGGGCAGCCCGGACGATGCTGGTCATGAGCTCCAGGTTCCTCCTGCACATCTGGAGCTGGTCGGGGACCAGCCCGGCCAGCAGCCGGCAGTGCTGGCTTTGGTTCCAGCCCACCCCGCTGCCGCTCTTTGCCAGCCCGCTGCGGGGACAGGGCGGGGGCAGGGATGTGGCCGGGAATGGGGACAAGGATGTGACCCGGGATGGGGACAGGGATGGGACCCAGGATGGGGACAGGGATGGGGACAGGGATGTGACCCGGGATGGGGACAGGGATGGGACCCAGGATGGGGACAGGGATGTGGCCGGGAATGGGGACAAGGATGTGACCCGGGATGGGGACAGGGATGGGACCCAGGATGGGGACAGGGATGGGGACAGGGATGTGACCCGGGATGGGGACAGGGATGGGACCCAGGATGGGGACAGGGATGTGGCCGGGAATGGGGACAAGGATGTGACCCGGGATGGGGACAGGGATGGGACCCAGGATGGGGACAGGGATGGGGACAGGGATGTGACCCGGGATGGGGACAGGGATGGGACCCAGGATGGGGACAGGGATGTGGCCGGGAATGGGGACAAGGATGTGACCCGGGATGGGGACAGGGATGGGACCCAGGATGGGGACAGGGATGGGGACAGGGATGTGACCCGGGATGGGGACAGGGATGGGACCCAGGATGGGGACAGGGATGTGGCCGGGAATGGGGACAAGGATGTGACCCGGGATGGGGACAGGGATGGGACCCAGGATGGGGACAGGGATGGGGACAGGGATGTGACCCGGGATGGGGACAGGGATGGGACCCAGGATGGGGACAGGGATGTGGCCGGGAATGGGGACAAGGATGTGACCCGGGATGGGGACAGGGATGGGACCCAGGATGGGGACAGGGATGGGGACAGGGATGTGACCCGGGATGGGGACAGGGATGGGACCCAGGATGGGGACAGGGATGTGGCCGGGAATGGGGACAAGGATGTGACCCGGGATGGGGACAGGGATGGGACCCAGGATGGGGACAGGGATGGGGACAGGGATGTGACCCGGGATGGGGACAGGGATGGGACCCAGGATGGGGACAGGGATGTGGCCGGGAATGGGGACAAGGATGTGACCCGGGATGGGGACAGGGATGGGACCCAGGATGGGGACAGGGATGGGGACAGGGATGTGACCCGGGATGGGGACAGGGATGGGACCCAGGATGGGGACAGGGATGTGGCCGGGAATGGGGACAAGGATGTGACCCGGGATGGGGACAGGGATGGGACCCAGGATGGGGACAGGGATGGGGACAGGGATGTGACCCGGGATGGGGACAGGGATGGGACCCAGGATGGGGACAGGGATGTGGCCGGGAATGGGGACAAGGATGTGACCCGGGATGGGGACAGGGATGGGACCCAGGATGGGGACAGGGATGGGGACAGGGATGTGACCCGGGATGGGGACAGGGATGGGACCCAGGATGGGGACAGGGATGTGGCCGGGAATGGGGACAAGGATGTGACCCGGGATGGGGACAGGGATGGGACCCAGGATGGGGACAGGGATGGGGACAGGGATGTGACCCGGGATGGGGACAGGGATGGGACCCAGGATGGGGACAGGGATGTGGCCGGGAATGGGGACAAGGATGTGACCCGGGATGGGGACAGGGATGGGACCCAGGATGGGGACAGGGATGGGGACAGGGATGTGACCCGGGATGGGGACAGGGATGGGACCCAGGATGGGGACAGGGATGTGGCCGGGAATGGGGACAAGGATGTGACCCGGGATGGGGACAGGGATGGGACCCAGGATGGGGACAGGGATGGGGACAGGGATGTGACCCGGGATGGGGACAGGGATGGGACCCAGGATGGGGACAGGGATGTGGCCGGGAATGGGGACAAGGATGTGACCCGGGATGGGGACAGGGATGGGACCCAGGATGGGGACAGGGATGGGGACAGGGATGTGACCCGGGATGGGGACAGGGATGGGACCCAGGATGGGGACAGGGATGTGGCCGGGAATGGGGACAAGGATGTGACCCGGGATGGGGACAGGGATGGGACCCAGGATGGGGACAGGGATGGGGACAGGGATGTGACCCGGGATGGGGACAGGGATGGGACCCAGGATGGGGACAGGGATGTGGCCGGGAATGGGGACAAGGATGTGACCCGGGATGGGGACAGGGATGGGACCCAGGATGGGGACAGGGATGGGGACAGGGATGTGACCCGGGATGGGGACAGGGATGGGACCCAGGATGGGGACAGGGATGTGGCCGGGAATGGGGACAAGGATGTGACCCGGGATGGGGACAGGGATGGGACCCAGGATGGGGACAGGGATGGGGACAGGGATGTGACCCGGGATGGGGACAGGGATGGGACCCAGGATGGGGACAGGGATGTGGCCGGGAATGGGGACAAGGATGTGACCCGGGATGGGGACAGGGATGGGACCCAGGATGGGGACAGGGATGGGGACAGGGATGTGACCCGGGATGGGGACAGGGATGGGACCCAGGATGGGGACAGGGATGTGGCCGGGAATGGGGACAAGGATGTGACCCGGGATGGGGACAGGGATGGGACCCAGGATGGGGACAGGGATGGGGACAGGGATGTGACCCGGGATGGGGACAGGGATGGGACCCAGGATGGGGACAGGGATGTGGCCGGGAATGGGGACAAGGATGTGACCCGGGATGGGGACAGGGATGGGACCCAGGATGGGGACAGGGATGGGGACAGGGATGTGACCCGGGATGGGGACAGGGATGGGACCCAGGATGGGGACAGGGATGTGGCCGGGAATGGGGACAAGGATGTGACCCGGGATGGGGACAGGGATGGGACCCAGGATGGGGACAGGGATGGGGACAGGGATGTGACCCGGGATGGGGACAGGGATGGGACCCAGGATGGGGACAGGGATGTGGCCGGGAATGGGGACAAGGATGTGACCCGGGATGGGGACAGGGATGGGACCCAGGATGGGGACAGGGATGGGGACAGGGATGTGACCCGGGATGGGGACAGGGATGGGACCCAGGATGGGGACAGGGATGTGGCCGGGAATGGGGACAAGGATGTGACCCGGGATGGGGACAGGGATGGGACCCAGGATGGGGACAGGGATGGGGACAGGGATGTGACCCGGGATGGGGACAGGGATGGGACCCAGGATGGGGACAGGGATGTGGCCGGGAATGGGGACAAGGATGTGACCCGGGATGGGGACAGGGATGGGACCCAGGATGGGGACAGGGATGGGGACAGGGATGTGACCCGGGATGGGGACAGGGATGGGACCCAGGATGGGGACAGGGATGTGGCCGGGAATGGGGACAAGGATGTGACCCGGGATGGGGACAGGGATGGGACCCAGGATGGGGACAGGGATGGGGACAGGGATGTGACCCGGGATGGGGACAGGGATGGGACCCAGGATGGGGACAGGGATGTGGCCGGGAATGGGGACAAGGATGTGACCCGGGATGGGGACAGGGATGGGACCCAGGATGGGGACAGGGATGGGGACAGGGATGTGACCCGGGATGGGGACAGGGATGGGACCCAGGATGGGGACAGGGATGTGGCCGGGAATGGGGACAAGGATGTGACCCGGGATGGGGACAGGGATGGGACCCAGGATGGGGACAGGGATGGGGACAGGGATGTGACCCGGGATGGGGACAGGGATGGGACCCAGGATGGGGACAGGGATGTGGCCGGGAATGGGGACAAGGATGTGACCCGGGATGGGGACAGGGATGGGACCCAGGATGGGGACAGGGATGGGGACAGGGATGTGACCCGGGATGGGGACAGGGATGGGACCCAGGATGGGGACAGGGATGTGGCCGGGAATGGGGACAAGGATGTGACCCGGGATGGGGACAGGGATGGGACCCAGGATGGGGACAGGGATGGGGACAGGGATGTGACCCGGGATGGGGACAGGGATGGGACCCAGGATGGGGACAGGGATGTGGCCGGGAATGGGGACAAGGATGTGACCCGGGATGGGGACAGGGATGGGACCCAGGATGGGGACAGGGATGGGGACAGGGATGTGACCCGGGATGGGGACAGGGATGGGACCCAGGATGGGGACAGGGATGTGGCCGGGAATGGGGACAAGGATGTGACCCGGGATGGGGACAGGGATGGGACCCAGGATGGGGACAGGGATGGGGACAGGGATGTGACCCGGGATGGGGACAGGGATGGGACCCAGGATGGGGACAGGGATGTGGCCGGGAATGGGGACAAGGATGTGACCCGGGATGGGGACAGGGATGGGACCCAGGATGGGGACAGGGATGGGGACAGGGATGTGACCCGGGATGGGGACAGGGATGGGACCCAGGATGGGGACAGGGATGTGGCCGGGAATGGGGACAAGGATGTGACCCGGGATGGGGACAGGGATGGGACCCAGGATGGGGACAGGGATGGGGACAGGGATGTGACCCGGGATGGGGACAGGGATGGGACCCAGGATGGGGACAGGGATGTGGCCGGGAATGGGGACAAGGATGTGACCCGGGATGGGGACAGGGATGGGACCCAGGATGGGGACAGGGATGGGGACAGGGATGTGACCCGGGATGGGGACAGGGATGGGACCCAGGATGGGGACAGGGATGTGGCCGGGAATGGGGACAAGGATGTGACCCGGGATGGGGACAGGGATGGGACCCAGGATGGGGACAGGGATGGGGACAGGGATGTGACCCGGGATGGGGACAGGGATGGGACCCAGGATGGGGACAGGGATGTGGCCGGGAATGGGGACAAGGATGTGACCCGGGATGGGGACAGGGATGGGACCCAGGATGGGGACAGGGATGGGGACAGGGATGTGACCCGGGATGGGGACAGGGATGGGACCCAGGATGGGGACAGGGATGTGGCCGGGAATGGGGACAAGGATGTGACCCGGGATGGGGACAGGGATGGGACCCAGGATGGGGACAGGGATGGGGACAGGGATGTGACCCGGGATGGGGACAGGGATGGGACCCAGGATGGGGACAGGGATGTGGCCGGGAATGGGGACAAGGATGTGACCCGGGATGGGGACAGGGATGGGACCCAGGATGGGGACAGGGATGGGGACAGGGATGTGAC